CAATTGTTTACATCGTGTTTCACACGTAACCGTGAGCTCACGAGTCATCTATGCTGTAGAATAATAATGATATTCTAAAAAAAATTCGACGTAAGCGAGATACGTATACCTTGAGATTAACAGAGGAACAATAAACAAAATGTTGCGTAAGACACTTATTTATTATTATACCCATAGTGCACTACGTTAGTCAAACGTTAAATTAAACTTTTTAGCGGGAAAAAAATTTTATGAAAATCGTATTAATCGTCCGATAAAAAAAGACGACTATTCATCGGAGTCTGTATTTCATACATTACACAGTTATGTACAAACATTTAAACAACACGGATTGCCACGGATTGAGTGATCAATCTAAGAGATTCCTTAGTTTAAGAAAAGAGAGGCGTAACTTACAGCAGAGGGTCTCAAAAGTTGCAAGCGTATCAAGAAAAAAAGATGCCAATAATAGAATTACGAGTACGTACTTATTTCTAATTTTATCCCTAATAATACGTTTTGTCTCGATTAACATTCCATTGAGAAAACGATAACCTCATTCGACTGATACCTGTGCGCTGTTCGAAAATATGTAATTTCATTCTCGATAGTTCGTCGCAGTGCCCGCGCGAACTTGCAACCGTGATTAGGCTTGCTAACCTCTCAGTTACGTCCAATTATGTTCAACGAGATCAGGTGATCTTTAATTGCGAGAGCAAACGTGATTTCTACTTTGCGAGATAACACACTTGAGAAAACACGTAAACACGTAAGTACATATTCAATGCCTTGCTATCTGACCGCAGGTAGGAACGGTAGGAATTGATAATTCAGCTAATTAACAAGAAAAACTTGTCAGACAGAGTCGGTAATATCTTTGTACGAATATAATGAATGTCGTAACTTGAGGCAAGATATAATGGTGGAGAATGGTCAGTTAGCAAGAGGGATTTCTGGCCAGCTAGCAAGGCATTACTGTACTTACGAACAAAGGGTTTCCTTAACCTTGAACATCGTTGAAACAGAGCAAATATGTTAGTGAAACGAAATAGTATCGCGGGTCCTGCTC